ACGAGCGCCCTGGGTACAACACCAGCGTCCTGGGTACAACACCAGCGTCCTGGGTACAACACCAGCGTCCTGGGTACAACACCAGGGGCCCTGGGTACAACACCAGCGTCCTGGGTACAACACCAGCGCCCTGGGTACAACACCAGCGCCCTGGGTACAACACCAGCGCCCTGGGTACAACACCAGCGTCCTGGGTACAACACCAGCGCCCTGGGTACAACACCAGGGGCCCTGGGTACAACACCAGCGCCCTGGGTACAACACCAGCGCCCTGGGTACAACACCAGCGTCCTGGGTACAACACCAGGGGCCCTGGGTACAACACCAGGGGCCCTGGGTACAACACCAGCGCCCTGGGTACAGACGCGTGATGGTACGAGAGTCCCAGCTCCGAATTCATCTCAGTGCTGATCGGTTCGGTAGTGATAGTATATTGCCTTTGTACATGCTGGTTCGTACCCCTCACACTTCTCCCTTGCTATGCTGTCCACCCTACACGTCTGCATCCTTACCTATGCCTCGTTCCCGTCACGCGCCTCCCCCAACCTTCACTACACCTCCCCTACACCTCCCCCAACCTCCCCAACCCAGCAGGTCAGCCAGAGAGAAAGGTCAAGAATGAGGGGTCAGCCGCCTGCTATCCTAACTCATTCTATATTTCCCATTTATAAACATTTCCTTGAACCTATGCCTCTGCATCTTTATTAATATAAAAACAGATGAAAACAAAAATGATGGGTTATCTTGAGGTTATCTTGAGATGATTTCGGGGCTTTTTTAGTGTCCCCGCGGCCCGGTCCTCGACCAGGGCCGCGGCTGGGGTGTAGAAACCCAACACAAAGGCCTAAGTTTAGTGTTGAGGAAAGGTACATGAACCTCCCTTAACAACACATAATAAAATCAAACTATTGCCAAAAGGATAGTTACATGGTGATAAAAAAATAAAAAATAAAATGTGTGTATGTGTGTATTTATTATTTGTGTCTGCAGGATCGAGGTATTAGCTCTTGAGCCCCGCCTTTCTAGCCGCCGGTTATCTAATGTACTAGCTCTCCGATCTACTTTTCCTCTGCTATATATATAGAAATATAGAGATTATATACATACACATATGTATACATATATATATTTCTTCTGCTACACATTTCTCTCACATACACATCCCCAGCTACATTGTCTCCCCGGCTTAGCGCCTTCTTTGGATAATTACACACTTGCACACATCCCCAGGATGCAGGCCTTAGCAGCTGTCTAACTCCCTGGTACCTATTTATTGCTAGGTGAACAAAGACATCTAGTGAAAGAAACTTTGCGCATCTGTTTCTGCCTCAACTGGGAATAGAACCAGGGTCCTTAAGACTACGACCTCAGAGGGATGCCTGTATTAACCTATTTGTATTCATCTATTTGTGCTTGCGGAGGTTGAGCTTAGCTCTTTCAGCCCGTCTCTCAACTGTCAATCAACTGTTACTAACTACTATTTTTTCACACATACACCCCCCCCCCCAGGAAGTCAAACTGGTATATAGTGCTTTCACGTCATAATTACCTTACCTTATCTCTAACTCCCAGGTACTTATTTACTGCTAGGTTACAGGGGCATTCAGGGTGAAAGAAACTTTGTCCATTTGTTTCTTGCCTGGTCCGGAAATCGAGCCTAGGCCACAGAATTACGAGTCCTACGCGCTGTCCACTCAGCTACCAGACCCACTAATTTATGTGTGTGTGTGTGTGTGTGTGTGTGTGTGTGTGTGTGTGTGTGTGTGTGTGTGTGTGTGTGTGTGTGTGTGTGTGTGTGTGTGTGTGTGTGTGTGTGTGTGTGTGTGTGTGTGTGTGTGTGTGTGTGTGTGTGTGTGTGTGTGTGTGTGTGTGTGTGTGTGTGTGTACTCACCTATTTGTGCTTGCGGGGGTTGAGCTTTGGCTCTTTGGTCCCGCCTCTCAACTGTCAATCAACTGGTGTACAGATTCCTGAGCCTACTGGGCTCTATCATATCTACATTTGAAACTGTGTATGGAGTCAGCCTCCACCTCATGTGTGTGTGTGTGTGTGTGTGTGTGTGTAACATGTGCGTGGGTGTGTTTGCGTACCTAAACATGTGTGCACGTAAGGGCGTGCTGACAGATATCACTAAGATGAAATATACCATGATTCGAGCGAGCCATAATTAAGATGTTCTCTTTTGTTAAACATACACGGGTCTTCTTCCCCATAACCTGCCTGGCGGACCGCCAGGCTTCCCCTCCAGACTCTCCCAGGACCTTACACGACCTCTCCTCCCTGCACCCCCTCTCACTGTGGGGGATAGAGGGGGGAGGGTATAGAGGGAAGATAGAGGGGGGTGGATAGAGGAGGTTACCCTCTTCTCCTAACCACTTGGACGGTAGAACGACGGTCTCACTTCATGTAGGTTGCCGTTCAATCCCCGACCGTCCAAGTGGTTGGACACCATTCCTTTCTCCCCGTCCCATAAACAAAATTCTTATCCTGACCCCCCTTCCAAGTGCTATATTATCGTAATGGCTTGGCGCTATCCCCTGATAGTTTTCTTCCTTTCTTCCATCCCTCCCCCCTCCCACAACACATTCCCCTCTTTTCCAAGCACAGTAGCAGGGAGTCCCCTCTGCACTTATCAGAGTGGCGAATGATACCTTTTATTTCAATGTCTTTTATAGTCAAACTGGTATATAACGCTATTACGACATAATTACCTTACCTTATCTCTATTCCAGTTTCAGAAGGAGGGGGGAGGGAAGGGGGTGGGGGGGGGGGGTTCCCCTCGTTCCTGTAATTTGGGACGACCCTTTCCCCTTCCGATTAGCGGTGGGACCGCTTTAGGCCAATCACAATTAGGCGCGATTAGGAAAATTAGATTAGGAAAAAAACCTACCCCCTGGAAGATGATGGGGTAGGGGGGGGGGTTGAGACGTCTCTACTCCTTCTCCTCCTCCTCTCCCTTCACCATGGGAGGTAAGGGTTTGTCCCTGTGGGGTGGATCCTCTTTCACGGTGAATAGGGGAGGTTCCTCTTCACCCCCCACCCCACTCCCAGCAGGGAGTGGGGTGTTGGTCCCCACATCACCCTCTTGGTGATTGCCCTTTCACCCCCTTCACCTCTGACCCGAGTCTAACTCAGTGTGTTTGGTAGTTCGCGAAAATTGATTATTAGTATTCTAAAAATGGTATTAGCCTTAGTTATTTATACAAGGTTGAATATATGCATTAGAGCTGGCTCGTGGTATTATGACTGGCGAGTATTCTTAAATGTAGGTTTGTGATATTGGGGTATTATTATTAAAATATAAATCAATAAAAATAATCTAAAGTTTAAGTAAATATAAAGGCGTAGTAGGAGAAATTATATATGGGGAATGAATTTTATATGGTGATGGGCTCCTATATATATATATATATATATATATATATATATATATATATATATATATATATATATATATATATATATATATATATATATATATATATATATATGGGAGGTAAGGGTTAGATAAAGATAGAAGGGAGTACCACCTCTAGCTGGAAGAAGGGGGACCCATATATATATATATATATATATATATATATATATATATATATATATATATATATTTTGGATGGACTTTGGCCATCCTTATATATATATATATATATATATATATATATATATATATATATATATATATATATATATATATATATATATATATATATATATATATATATATAAGGATGGCCAAAGTTTACGTAGACATTAATACAAACTGCTAAATTCATCTATTTCCATCCTTAAGAGCCTATTACTAAAGTATACAATAATTTTAAATACATAAACTCACCGCAAACATCGGGAATTTACATTTAATTTAAGGACTCTATTCTTTAACACAACAGAATAATGTAAAAGTTTCATCCAGGTACTTGTGATAAAGTAATCCCCAACAGAACCTACACGCCCACCTGACCTTACCTGCACCTTGTTGTACAATAATACAATACATGGAACTTTTAATATATAATTAGATTTCTTTATACATATGAACAAATTTATTTTTGAATATACGTTGAAATTGAAGTTGAAGCTTGGACAACCTGGCCTGACAGCTGAGTGGACAGCGCTTCGGATTCGTAGTCCTGAGGTTCCGGGTTCGATCCCCGGTGGAGGCGGAAACAAATGGAGAGTTTCTTTCACCCTGATACCTAGCAGTAAATAGGTACCTGGGAGTTAGACAAAAGCTACTGGCTGCTTCCTGGGTGGTGTGCAACAAAAAGGAGGCCTGGTCGAGGACCGGGCCGTGGGGACGCTAAGCCCCGAAATCATCTCAAGATAACCTCGGGGCGAGGGGTGGGGGAGATCCCTAAGACATATTCACCAATTTTAATGTATTATGTAAACAAAAAAGGTTATTTCTCACATATTAATATATTTTACATATTTCAATTTTGTGTATAGTTAGGCCTAGGGTAGATAGCTTAGGTTTTTGGTTCTGTTGGCAATTATTTGCATTTGAAGTCCGTGGATGAAGCATTAACAGTTGCAGTTCGAACACATGAAGAACAAATCCGTGTTCATGAGAAGTTCAAAAGTTATCAACTGTGTTATCATTCGACTCATAAACAACGGGTGTTTAACGAGAATTTAACTGGGGTTAACGAGAACTGGATTAACGAAAATTTGTTTGTTGTTTGTGAGGTCGGTTTTTTATATAGATTGAAGCCACTTAAACCTATTTATATCACGAAACCGGCATTCATGGCGCCTCTGAGCGCCTTGAATGTTCAGTGTTGGTGCCTTCGACTCCTGGTCGTATCCACCAGGCTGGTTGAGGGTCGTCTTTCCACCTGGCTGGTTGTGGGTGTCTCCACCTGGCTGGTTCTGGTTGTATCCACCTGGCTGGTTGTGGGTCGCATCCACCTGGCTGGTTCTGTGTTGTCTCCACCTGGCTGGTTGAGGGGTCGTATCCACCTGGCTGGTTCTTGGTCGTCTTTCCACCTAGCTAGTGGAGATGACACCAGAACCTGTTCTAGGACACCCAGAACCTGTTCTAGGACACCCAGAACCTGTTCTAGGACACCCAGAACCTGTTCCAGGACACCCAGAACCTGTTCTAGGACAACCAGAACCTGTTCTAGGACACCCAGAACCTGTTCCAGGACACCCAGAACCTGTTCCAGGACACCCAGAACCTGTTCCAGGACACCCAGAACCTGTTCCAGGACACCCAGAACCTGTTCCAGGACACCCAGAACCTGTTCCAGGACACCCAGAACCTGTTCCAGGACACCCAGAACCTGTTCTAGGACACCCAGAACCTGTTCTAGGACACCCAGAACCTGGTCATCTCCACCGGGCAGGTTTTAGGTCTCCTCCACTTGATTAGTTCTTGGTTTCCTTCTTGAGTTGAACAGCGAAGTATTTATTTTCCCGTATTAGCTGTGTGTAACTCTATTTAGTGTGAGGAAATATATTAATTTTTTGTCCATGTCCAGATTCGCCCCAGATCGTTTGTGGTTTTGCTTTAACTTGGCGTAAAAGCTACTGTAATTAAAAATCGAGTGTTAAAGTGATTTAAAAGTTTAATAATTGTATTCTAATCTCTGTTATCAAAGCAAAACTGCGCGTGATATGGTCAGTGTCCATTGAAAGAGTGTTAGTATGGAGCATTTTGTTTCCTTTATATAGGCAAATCCTTATTATGCAATTATACAAAAATATATCAACGATTACATCATTTATATCAGGAGATAACTAAGATTACCATTGATAAAGCGTCCGGATTTTCGACTGGAATTGCAAGAGGCTCTTATGACTCGATATCGAAATTACTATAGACTCTTCCCGATCCCTCACTGGCACTGTCAAAGTCATGGCACCTAATCAGACTTAGATTTGAAGCCTTAGACTTCTATGTGCTAGGCTCAACCAGAGAGAGAGAGAGTCTTGTAATTACCCCCCCTCATTATCAATAACATTCAGTTGTCACTTGAATTGTGTCTCCAGATCAACCCAGATAGAGATTTTTCATATCAAAATAGATTTAAAAAGGCCCATTAAATTATACAGCAGAGAGCTTTAATAATACATATCTGCTAAGTAAAACTGGGCTACGTAAACTGTAGGATATTCTGTAAAATGGTTTACTTATACTGCTTTATTTGCATAAATACAAGTGTGGTTAGATATACTTAGGGGTTAACTAGAGCTCAAGCTTCTTAAGTTTATCATTTCTACATGGGATGACACTGCTAAGTATAGCAGTAAATATTACTGTTAGTTAGGCCACTATATGAGGTCAAGCGTCGGCATTATGGATGAATATGCAATTGAGTACATTTGTATATTCATTCCCAAATAATAAAAGGTAAAAGAAAATCACACTTTATCATATCTACCTGGCAGATTGGCTTGTTAGACTGGGGCGATACAGTCAATTATTCACACCTGGCACGTAGATTGGTCGGTACAGCGACGGTCTCGCTAATTTCAGGTCGATATTCGATTCCTGACAGACTGTCCAGGTGACTGCGTGCCGTTCCTGATCTCCGCCCTATCCCGGATAGTTATCATCATATCCCAGATTCTAGGCCTCCTATTCCTTCCAGTGCCTTAACGTTTTCTCTTCATAATTATCTTACTTCAACACTGACATGCTTTGGACGGATACGAGGATATTCTCAAGAACACGGAAGATAAATGGGTAGTAAAGTTTGTTATGGAGAACTTACAGTCGGAGGCCAATGTCCGAGTGGTAGGGAGGGTGCAGCAGCAGCAGCAGCAGCAGCAGCAGCAGCAGCAGCAGCAGCATGTCGCGGTGTTTACCAACACACCGCGTCCGTATGCTTAAAAACATGTGTGTGTCCGAATGTGCTCCATTGTTTCCCGGGAAGGCTTACATTTACTCCGTCACGCTTCTCATCGTAAAACCAACTTTTAATATGTCTCTCGCTGAATGGGAACTGCCTAATTATCCGCCCGTGCCGGCCAATTTACTCGCGGTGATTTAAGAGAAACGACTCATTCGAAATTGTGAAATATAAGACGTGAATGAAGTTTTTAAAATAACAACTGGAAAAAAAAATATTAATCGTGTCACTGATGTCACGTTGCTGACAAAGAATGAATTACTTTTTTTTTACAGTTTTTTTTTTTTTTTTTAAATTGCTTCGATTTTTTTGTCATTCATCTTGCAGGTTGCATAGACAGATTTTCATAAAAACTTTAAAATTCGTAGTGAATATTTTTTTCCTTTCGTCTTTTTCCCGATTAATGGTTAGGCCTTTTCTGTGTTCTGCTCTAGTGCTTCATAAAAAAAAATGCTGTTTAAAAACATTTTTCTCATTTGTTTTATTTATGATTTTAATTATTTTTGGGGAAAGTGGTATATACTTTTTAGGATTGGAATGTTTGTTAAGTTTTGCTAAGTGTTAGTTTAATAGTCCATTGTTTAAACAAATCATTATATCCACTGAGGTCTAGTTACCCGGGTTTAAAAGTGGTTTCTTCATGAGTACTCGCTTACACGGTATGAGACACGGCTCCTGGGTTCCGCCTGTCTACTCCTAATCGACTGGTGTATGAGAGTTCATATGCGTTTGTATGTATTCATCTATGTATGTAATTATGCATTCTTTTATCAAGCTGTTCTTAAGTAATTGTTCGTATCTTGCTGTTATTAGGTAATTATTCTTATCTAGCTGTTATTAGGTAATTATTCTTAGGTAACTGTTCTTAACGACTGTTCTTACGGAACTGTTATCTACCAGTTCGAACCTTTGTGTGTTTGTAGTCATGCAACCTTTGCACATTTACCGCTAGAATCAACTTTGTCATCTTAATTATTAGGACCGACTAAAAGTTCTAAATCTGTATTCTCTATGGGCTAGAGGCGAAAGAGATACATAATAATCTACACGTGGAAAATATTAGAGGGACTGGTTTAAAATCTGAACACGGAGATTACGTCACACGAGACCAGGAGGCATGGCAGGATGTGCAAACAGTCCCATTGAAAAGCAGAGGTGCAATAGATACGCTGAGGGAGAACTCTATCAACATCAAGGGCCCAAGAGTTTTCAACACTCTTCTGCAACACGTAAGGAGCATAACTGGCCGGCCCCTCACATTGTTCAAGAGAGAACTCGACAAACACATCCAAAGAATACCAGATCAGCCAGGTTGTGATTCATCTGTCAGGCTGCGAGCAGCCGCGTCCAACAGCCTGGTTGACCAGACGACCAACCGGGAGGCCTGGTCGGAGACCGGACCGCGGGGTCGTTGATCCATGGAACCTTCACAAGACAGACACAAGGTAGGTAAGCATGTGTATTCACGTAGTTGTGCTTGCAAGGGGTTGAGCTCTGGCTCTTTAGTCCCGCCTCTCAACTGTCAATCAACTGGCGTACAGATTCCTGGGCCTACTGGGCTCTATCATATCTATATATGAAACTGAGCATGAAGTCTGCCTCCACAACATCAATGCATAATGCATTCCATTCCATTTGTTAAGTGCCCTGACACTAAAAAAATTCTTTCTAATGTCTCTGTGGCTTATTTGAGGCATGTGTACGTAGTCATGCATGTCTGTGTGTACTCACCCTGTTGTGCTTGACGGGGTTGACCGTCGACTCTTTGGTCTTTGTGTGTGTGTGTTCTTTGTATCTGTGTCTGTGTCTGTGTCTGTCTGTCTGTTTTTTTTTTCTCTCTCTCTCTCTCGTAATTTTTTATCTCTACATAAGTGCAATGGTAAACGACCTGACAAGAGCTGAGAATGTTATTTCCAGATAATACATTAATGTTGGAAAACAACGAAGGATTGGTACCTAAGCATTGAAGTCTCCTGGACGACAAATAATACACTGAGCACAGTCACATTCCCAACCAAAGTTCCTCGAGTATGAGTAAAAAATAAAAGTTAGGTTTTAATTCTACTGCTTTACATGTCTATTTTGTAATTTACCCTTGTTGAACCTAATATGTGTCAGCCAGGCAGAGGTTTCCAGTTGAAAGTTCCTTGTGTCGGGCAGGTAGGGGTTCCCTGTCGAACCTAATAGAACCCAGCCAGGCTGGGACTCCTCGAGATACTATAATATATTTAAAGTGTTCCTCCAATTCAAAATGTGTTGGGAATCACTGAGTTAGACAATGCCACAATGTTTGTTGTGGTGCTTCTGTACTCCGGCTCCTTGTATTTTAAATAAAATAATGCCAATGAGGTTAAATTGCAGTCATTTCAAGCTTAATTTGAGCTCATTTACATCCATATCAGGTAAAGTAAGCAAGATTTACAACTCTCCTCATTCACAGTTCTGTCATATGAGAGAACTAGAAGTAATTGGACACAAAGAACATACTTGTATATGAAGTCGCTAATTGCTCCATGACAAGGACTTTAAGATACAATTCAGAGGGAAAATTATGCAGAATTGGTACCTAAGCATTGAAACCTTCTTAGCTATTAACAATGCATATATATTATCTATATGGCTTGTGTGCGTGCGTGTGTATGTGAGAGAACGTACCAATCAGTATGAATGCTGGGATGCACTGCCAAAAAACACACAAAAGACAATCATCTTCTGTGGTTGAGTGCTTCACAGCACTCAACCCACAGCACAATATGTGGGAAAACAGATCTCTAACCCTCTTTATGTTGGACAGATGAGAATGTATGTATGCTGGTTAGAATTGTAAACGAACTACAATCACCTTCTGTGGTTGGGTGTTCGTTAACTCTGTACACTACATGACGTCTAACAGATCTCTAACACTGCCCAACGAGGACAGAAGAAAATTTATATATTCTGGTTAGCATCGTAAATGAACGACCACATCTGTGGTAGAAAATAAACTAAAAAAGTAGTTATTTATCAGTGGCTACAGAGTAGTGAAGTCTACCTCTTTATACTCCTGCACGTTGTAGTCCTTGTATATATATATATATATATATATATATATATATATATATATATATATATATATATATATATATATATATATATATATATATATATATATATATGTCCCCTTTTCTTTGTCGTTGTTGGCAATAAGGGGTTAGCTTGTTAACTTGTTCGAACTAGTACAATGCCCTGTCAAGAGCAATTTGAGAGAACAGTGTGAAAATTTTTTCTCTTGAAGGGGGGCAGTACCAAGAAGATATACCATCTACAAGTTGAATAACCTTTAGACCTCTGGCAGTCTCGTAGAAAGCCGGACAAGAAAGCCAATGGTGTACAAGCCAGCAATTGGCACTGGCCCCTGATTGGCCTAATCAAGTTTGTGGGGGGAGTCGGGACGGTGAGGGGTGTGATTTAGCATATTACCTTGGTGCATAAACCTCTACGTAATTGTACATAAGTATTCCTCCGAGGCAACAAGGTG